GGGTCTTAACACACTAACATACTTGTATCTGCACCAGTCCTTTGTGCAAGGTGAAACATCCAAGCCCTGTGCACTTTTATCCTTCTGTCTTGTCTCTGCTTTTTTTTTCTTCCTTTTTTTTTTCTTTTTTTTTTTTTAAAGGGCAAGTTTTGAGTGCCCTGGCAGAGAACCAGCTAGCAGATGCTCTGCATTCCCTCCCTCTCAGAAAGATAGTCCTGTTATGTAGGGAGGAAGTGGAGTTGTGAAGGTAAAGTTGTGTATGAGAGAGAAAAACATTTTCCCCAATATATCAGGGTAGAGAGCTCTTGATAAAACTCTCGGCAATAATATATATGCTTTCCTACATCAGCCTTCTATCCTGACCTCTTGCTGAAGTGAGGAAAGGACTTTCCTTGTCTGGCTTGCACTCCTGTCATCAAGAAACCAATTTCTGCCACCTGGTTTGATGGCTGTTGGCCCAGGACAGATTGTCATTCTCCCTACATGTCTCTCTCTCCTCTTTCAATTTTTCTTTGGATCATCTTTCCTTTCCTCATCATCCTTAATTAAAAGCATATACATGCACAACAAAAATTCTCTCATTTCTGACACATCATGTCTTCCAGACTACACATACATTCTCTGTGTTAATTCTTTAGGGGTTAATAGGTTCACTTGCAATATTTCACTCTCTCTCCTCACACTTGTCTTTCCTACTCTGCCATATGTGTCCTAAAATCTGCCTTCAATTTAGTGCTTGTTAATTTTCCAAATAAAAATGGAGCTCTGAAAACTATATCATCACAACACCATGCACTTAAATCATCTGAACACTGGGGAACATGAAGTTCACTTTGCCCATTTTCTCTGCCTGCAGTGATGCAATGGGAAGGTGATCTTGTTCTCATGGATAGTTAGGGCATACTTCACTTAGCTCCAATATGAATCAAATTACATGCTTAGTTAATGGATTAATTCCCTCTTGTAATTCTGCATGGGATCCAATAGATAGCATGTAGACCAATTCCAGATTTAGAAGAGTTTTGTTGCTGGACCATATTTTGAAAGGCTTGATATACATCCTCTGGGGGATACTATGGTCCCCCCACTTGTAGCAAGGTGGGAGTTGGCCTGTTTTCCCAGGTAACTAGCAATAGGACAAGAGGTAATGGCCTTAAACTGTGCTGAGGAGGTTCAGGTTAGGAAAAAATTCTCAGAAAGAGTGGTGAGGTATTGGAACAGGCTGCCCAGGGAGTGGTGGAATCACCATCCCTGGAGATGTTCACGAACCATGTGGATGTGGCGCTGAGGGATGTGGTTAGTGGGCATGGTGGGGATGGCTGATGGTTGTACTAGGGGATCTTATTGGTTTTCCTAACCTTAATGATTCTATGGTTCTTTGTCAAAATCTACTATACTGTAGACTTTTTATGTGCAGTAGATTAAAATTATAAAAATGTTGACTCGTAAGCCACTGATGTCTGTTTTTATTTCCCTCTGTGTTCAGAGTTATAACAAAAATATATGTCAGTTTTCGTGGACTGTAACTTCTGGGGGTAAACTAAATACAATCTTATAGCACTCCTAGCTTAGTGTCTAGTTTCTTCTTCGTGTATTTTTCCCTTTAGTGTAAAAAGCGTTCAACTGTAGTAGCTATATCTAGCACACAACACCTAAACACTGACCTGCTAGAATGTGCTTATTTTCTGGTTTCTCCATGACAAGGAATACATCCTGATACAAGATAAAGCGTTTCTATGAAAGAACAGAAGACATAATAATAAAATCAGCTGTAAGAATAAGGAATCACATAAAGCTACTTTAATGCATCACATTTGAATTTTTTTTTTTTTTTTAATGAAATCCAAGTTATCCAATCCAATCCACCCTCTTTGGGTGCACTCTGGAATATTTCATCAATATGGTTAATCAGATGAATTCTGATGTTTTATCAGTATGATATATCAACACTATTTGTTCTCTGATTGATAGAGGTGTATACATGACCAGTTTCCTGTAAATCATACAAAAAAATATGCGTCAGAAGTGTGTGGATGTAAATAATGTAATATCTCCCAATTCAATTCACTTTTCTGTCCTTTTTTTCTTAAAATTTTAACTTTTTTTTTTTTTTTTTTTTAAATGGAATTGAAGAACAACACTGTTCTTTGATTGCAGGGCATCACTAAATGAGTCTGGCTATAGTTTTTGTTAGCTAATGGCCTTGAGAAGAACATTACCTCCGAAGGCAGTGAGAATTTACTGCATCAGTGAGGACTGAGCCGCTTTCTTTCAGATAGAATAGAGGATAGAAAAACATTTTTTCCTGATGAAGTCAGACCACTAAGGTATTTCTATATAGTTAGTTACAAAGTCTCATTGGCCTACAGGTTTTATTCTGAAATAAATGCAAGCCAAATCCATGACATACATAAATCAAAACTTGAGCACAGGCATTAAGTTTGACTGAGGAGTAAAATACAGGATTTTGTGCTCAACTTTGTGCTGATTTGGTTAGAGAGCTTTTAGGATGCTAGTGGTTCTAAGCCAGCATGGCCAGAGCTAGCAAGCCATTATCTTCATCTCATGAAGTAGAGATGCTCTTCTTCAATGAGAAAAGCAAAAGGGAGTCTGCATTGCTGAGGTGTGAAGGTTGTTTTTTTAAAATCTTTCTGGCACTGAAAATTGAAAAGAGATCTTTGTATATATTCAAGCTGCAAGAATAAAGAAAGTTGTGAGTCTCTTGTGTTACACCAATTTAAACAAGCTGAAATCTTGGCCTGTAAATGATTAATTCAAATTACAAAGTAAACAGGGGAGGAAGTTGGTGAAAACTGATGTTATTTATGGAAGGGCATCCTTAAAACTGTGTTACAGTGGGAAGTTGGAGACACAAGCATCTGCCATGTGGATAAATTTAGTTATAAAACCTGGTTCCCTTATAGTCAGTGGAGCATACCTATTGAATCTGGGACTTAGCTCACTTGCTTTCTATGGAGAATTTTTGTCTTGTTTGAGCAGAACTGGAATTTTGACAGAGAAGTTTGATTGGAATAAATGGAGCATTCCTATCAAATGCAGGTAACTAATGAATCCATGGGTAAGCTCCATTAATTTCAATACAGTGCTAAATGTGTTAAACGTTATAAGAGGTTGTTGCATGTGTGCACTTACCAATTTTCTTAATGATAAGTTCTAGCTGATTTTAAGTTCTATCATTTTATATTCCATAGGAACTGTGAGTGAGCAATACTTCTGAATCTAGGAAGGTAAATGAACATTTGTTCAGTGGTATAAAATACAGGAAAATTACCTGAAATAACTTTTTTGGTAGGATTTCCCATTTAAAAAGAGTTTCAGTTACTACCTTCATTTCCAGATAAATTGTTTCAGCCCAGAGAAAATCTGTACCAATTCTCAACACAGAACAAATTTTGCTTGTATAATAATCCCCTTTTCTGCCCCCCCCAAATAAGATTTATGTTATATACAAAACCTGGAAGCAATAAACAGCTCGAACAACAATAGCATGAACAGGATGGTATAATTCACAATCTTATTTTGCAATGCATGATTTCCCATATATTTATAGACAAAGCTGATATCACAACAAGAAGCACTAATATAAACTTCCCTTATTTACTAAATTCATCAGTGGTAGAGTCTTTTAGTCCATGGAGTTTTAGGAAGCATAACTTTCAACATAGACAAGCAGCCAAGAAGGTATGTCTGTGAGATGGAACAAGGTCATTTGCATCTTAGCATCCTTTTGAGAAATGACATTGAATGAATTGTACAACATTTCATATTTAAGTCTATTTACATACATTTAAAGAAAGTATTTTGTCCTTTTCATCTGCATATTTTCCTACATCTCAGCTCCACCTTTCTGAACTTCCTGTGTAGACTTTGATCAACATAGCCTCTTAATAGGAAATTGAATCCTGCTGCAAGTTTTTCAGTAAAGGTACATAAGTGCAAATCAGGTAACTTTTCTTGACCTGCCACTCAGTCTTCTCAGATGCCTTCTTGAGCTGTGGAGGGGCAAACCAGGCACGGGATTCCAGCTGCTACCTTACTAGCACTGAGAGTTATATTAACTTTTCTTGATCTGTTGGCCATATGTTTAATGTAGTCGATTTTATTTTATCTGTGATCAGAGTATGCTATTGGCTCATTTTCAACTTGGCACCATCTCCTCCAAGTTCTTTTCAGCAAGGCAAAAATGTCTACAAAGATATATATATCCCTGTTGAGGAAGCAGGAAAAATGCAGTCTTTAAAAACAAATACATTCTTCCTCTTCTCTTGTTTATTTATTTATTTATTTTTTAAAAGGAATAATAATAATACATACATAAAATGTTGAGTATGTGGTTAGAAAGAGTGATTATAGCGAAAGAAGGAAACAACCAGAATCTGTTGTTGCAAGGTATCTCCAGATGAAGCAGAATCTCTAAATTTGAGTGAATCCTAAATTCTATCACTGGCAATAATTCATTTATCCTGAAATACAAAATCAGAAGCTTTTTGAGAATATCTTCACAAAAAATTGAAATACGAAGTTAGAACTGCAAAGAGAGTGTCATCATCACTCATACACAGGCTTCTATATCTGTCTACATATTGTCACAATCGAAAATAATAGAGCACACAAGATAAGCTTTTTTTAATTTATTAGTTATAAACAAAAGGTTACGTTTTGATTTTTTTGTAAATAGTCCTCCATGGGATGCCATTTATGCATGAATCTTTTTGCTGAAAAGAAATTGTAAAAAAACCTATAAGCAGAAAATGAGGTTCTAGTGATATAAGTGAAATTTTGTCATTAGCCATTAGATGATAAGTAGGCAGATTGGATAGACATTTCTTGAAATCCTACATAGTATGCAGAACATGCTTTCATTGTGCTTCCTGGCAGTATATGAAAATATGCCTTATTTGGAAGCATAATGATCAGTTCTGTTAAATCATGTTCAATCAGCTTATATAATAACACCTATATTTTGTTATTCATTTCAGATTTCAGAGACCTATGCCTTCCTACCGAGAGAAGCGGTGACACGATTTCTAATGAGTTGCTCAGAGTGCCAGAAAAGAATGCATTTAAACCCAGATGGAGCAGATCATAAAGGTAGTTTTAGTGTCAAACAGTGAGATGTAAAGTAATTTTATTTCTAATACCATTTATATTTTCCTAGCTTAAGTGAAGGTTCATAAAAATTTGGTAGACTGGAACAGTTCAGTAAGTCAGATCATCTCATTTACTTAAGCTGGAAAGTGGTGAATCTTCTGCTTTTGCTTAAGGATGGAATGTAATACCATATGCACCCCTGATAGAAAAAATGATTTTATCTGGAGGAAATCGTTTATTTTACTATGGAAATGTTTATATGAAGGCTTAAACATAAGGAATAGATAGGATGTATGTGCTGTAGTCATTTAGGATAGAAGAACTCATCACTTCTCAGGTTTTGAATTTGATTTTCATTTTTCTTTAGGAGATTTCCATCTGCACAGCCTACAAGCAATTGAAAATGCCAAAGTTAGAACTGAATGATATAACTGTCTGACTTTGACTGCAAAGTAGGCTGAAGAAGCCTCCACAACTAACATATAATGCATAATAAATATTTTTGTTACAGATAATGGGAAACCACCAACACTGGTGACCAGTATGATTGATTACAATATGCCAATTACTATGGCCTATATGAAACACATGAAGCTACAGCTACTAAATTCACAGCAAGATGAGGTACAAACTGAAATCTTTTAAGTTTGTTTTTCTTTTCTCATGTATCTTTGATGCTTGTCTTTGTGGTAGCCAAGAAACAGAACTGAAAGTTGATGTTGATGTCATCTTTATAATTTCATTGCTACAATAGTGACGGAAATCAAACCAAGGGTGTGTGGAAGTAATCAGCTTGAGAGAAAATGTCATGACTTAATGCCCTTCCATGGTAATATGCTGTACTGCTTCAAAGAACCTGAAGGTGCCCTTTCACTGACCAGAAAGGATGAGGGGGGCCACTGAGTATAGCCTTAGTGTTATGTTCAGCAGTGACTTTCATTGTCTACTTCTAGAAAGCAATACCATTTACAGTTGAAATGAGTGCCGTGATGCTCTCCAGGTTAGTAGCCAGGATACAATACATTTTGGTGGGAAGCCCCAGCCACATCAGTTCCAATCTTTAAGGCAAAAAAGCTTGCCTTATTGATAAATAAGTGTAGGGTTTTCTCATGAAACTTCAAATAAAATAGAAGGGAAAAAGAAGAAAGTAGGCTGAGAATTAAGTTTCTTTAGGGAGAACTTAAGTCAAATTGCAGTTATTTTATTTCAAAAATAATTTCTGTGATTTATTCCGATTTTTCTCGAATCTTAAGAAGTACTTCGATTGGAAGTCATCCACCAAGTTATTTGTAATAAACTCATTTTGCTACAAATGTGTTCATTTACCATTTGAGCTGCCAAATATTTAGAAGCCCAGCTACGTGCCAGCCAAAAAGCAATCCTACATGCTGTGTCCTTCTGCCTGACTACAAGATTGTTTTTAGTAAAGAAAGTCATCAAAAACAACCTTAGCAGCTGGATTATGTCAGAGACTCTGACTGACTCTTTACTTCTGTGGAGTCAGCGAGGTTTTGTAGATATTGGCCACTGGTGGAGATGTATGAATTATTCAACGTCCCATAGACTGGAATCTTTGTTTCACTTTTGCCTATTTTATTTATTTATTTTTATTTTTTAATTTTATTGGGAAGGATGTGGGTAGAGATCCCTTACTGAGTTCTTCACTCACAAATATAGCCTGGTCTTCTTTCCCTCCCATGGAGTCTCCCTTCTGTCTGCTGCCCCTTTATAGGAATCTGACAGCAGGATTCCAAGCAGCAGGAGGTAAGAGGCTTTATCCTTGTAGTACCCTTAGGGGTTAAAGGACACTTTGGTTTCCCCACTTCCCTTCTTTGACAGTTACTCATCCCACAGTAGGGTCAGGCACTCATGATGGATCAGGGCCATCTGCCACAGTGCCTCTGTAGCCCAAATGTTTTGGTATAGTCCTTCTGGCCCGATGACTGATATTTAAACTGTTTTTTCATCTAGATGAACCAATGACAACGATACAGGATTAGCAGGAAGCAGCATTGCTTGGTATCTCCCTGCTTGACTCAGTTTTGTAGCTCTGATCTCACTGTGTACTGTTTTAATGAAGAGAAAAGTAGTTTTTAATACATTTTAGTCACTTTATATTTTCCTGGGCACAAAGGAAGTCCTCATGATAATCATTTATGTCCTTTCTCAAAGCAGTTTTTCTAAGAATTTATTTTTTGCTCCGGACTGTACATTTGTTACACTGAGAAAGAAGTGGCAGTGAAAATATTATGGTGCAAAGCAGAAAGATTTCATGCACTTGAAATTGTGCTTGGGTTTGTAGGAAGGCTCTGTTTCCAAGGTTTCATCAGTCACATCTCTGTTCTTATGGAGGGGGCGGAATTGAGACTAGAGTGAACTTGGATACCACAACGAGCCAGCACAGCAATTAAAAGTCTCCAAATTCCCTCATTCTCAATTCATCATTTTTCATCTGAGGCCATCAACAAAAGGGAAACAGGCTTAATCTAAAAGGAGAATTCATCTATGTGTGGGAATTTACAGAGGTGCTGCAACTGGTACAAAGAGGCCAGTGGCCACCAGTTCTGCTCCCCATGCCTGCCTGTACAAAAAGTTCTACACAGTTCATAGAGTGAGGTGGAGATATTCTACAAACTGCCATAGGCAAACAGGCTGCCTATGTGTGGTGTTGTTTGCAAGTATCAGTTGCCTGACTGGCAGCCCACATATAGAGCCCAACCTCAGAATTAGAAAATGAAAGCCACTGCATGCTGACTCCTGCAGGGACAAATGAGAAATACCACTGTGCTTCAGCAGAGTCACAGTGTTACAGAAGGTCTGGAGAAATTTGTGTCCTGATCTTGCTCTTTGAGAAAGCAGCACACATTTCTGCTAAATCCCAGCACCAGATCACTGTGTATCTTGACCCTGTCTGTCTGGAGCACGAGCCCGGTGGCCACCAGCTTTGCACAGCTCTCATGCTGTTATGTTCCTGGTATTTACTGTGCTGTAGCTGAGGTGTTTCCTTCCCCATCCAGCCAAGGTAAAAAAGTGCCCACAAGAGAAACCCTCACTCTTCCATTCTTTTTTTTTTTTTTTATTAGAACTTTAGAAACAAACTATGCTTGTTTCAATATTTGACATTGTCCTGGAGTGATGGTGCAGAGTAGTATCACCTTGCATATTGTCCCAGTGCCATCCTCTTTCAACAAGAGATGCAGCTGCAGGAAACTTTGCTTCCAAAAATGAGAGAAATGCCCACACAAGCTGGAACCAACACTAAGATCCACAAGATGAACTGATTTAAGGGCCAAGTGCTTAGACAGAAGAAAGCAACTATATTAGCATCTGCAGAAACCAGTTCACAGTAAATGCACAGTAAAAAAAGTTGTTGTAAATGTTGCTATTTTTTTAGGTCACTTCTGATAAGCAACCCAAATAAAAATAGTCAGAGTTCTGCCAGATAGTTTTGTTTTAATTAAACAACAACAACCAAGCAAATAAAAAAACCCCATATAAATTGGAAAAGTATTTTAATCCTCAGGGATTTTTTCTATATGTTCTTTAAATGGCTTTTATTCACAATAGGAGCAATTATTTCAGAAAAGTTGTTACTGAAAATACATTGCCATAGGTTTCTGAATTGCCACTGCAGCTTGCAGAACAAGACTCATGAGAGCTAAATTTTTAATCCGTGAATGGATGCAGTGGGATCAAAATGAGTGAAGTTAAACATACTATATATGTACTATATACATGTTAACCCTGTATATAAACATATGCTGGACTAGGTCTCAAACAGTTTTGTATCTGGGACTTTTCTGATTGGGACTTTTTGCACTCTAGTATCATTCCTAGTAGAGATTTTGTAATTGGACTTGACAGATAAATCACATATTAAAGATGTGTGAGGTAGAATAAATTTAAAGCGATTCCCATGTGATTGCATTACTTAGGTTTTCCATTGACTTTTGAGTCATTTGAGCATGATAAACAGTCTTCAAAATTTTCACGGATGCTTCCTTAAACATAATAGCAGTGTAGGGGTGAAGTTGTATTGAGGGAACCTGGTTGTGGATTCTTCTTAGATCATTTGGAAATGTTTTATTGTAAGTGAAAATCACGGGGTTACCTGCTTTGCCAGGGAAAAGTAGGGAATTCAGGTACAGACTATGGAGAACACTCCTCAACCACGTTTTGAGTAACAAGGACTTTGTGTGGGGTCTCCAGTTACAACCCTATTTTACAAAATGCTATGGAAACAGTTACGAGTGTGGTAATGGAGTGTCGTCATAGTTGATCAAATTGCATTTGTCAGACTAACATATCACATAAGTGCTGCATGTTCTTTGCTCTTATTTATGTGCTCTGCTTGTTTGCTTATGTACACAAGCATTAGCATGAATATATTCCGTGCCAGGGACAAATGAAATGGAGTAAGTGAGCCTCACATACAATTTAAACAGCATCCAGCGTTTTCTGACATGTCTCTGAAACTTTCAAATTGTAGGATGAAAGCTCTATAGAAAGTGATGAGTTTGATATGAGTGACTCTACGAGGATGTCAGCTGTGAACTCTGACCTCAGCTCAAATCTTGAAGAAAGAATGCAAAGTCCTCAGAATCTCCAGGGCCAGCAGGATGGTAAGGCTCTCCTTTCATACAGAAAATGTGCTATTGTCTTGTCTCCTTCCCATTCTGTGCTTTCATTTAGTACCTGCTGTGTCCTTCACTTCATAGTGTGTGTCTCTTAGTTTCATTAGGTAATGTGAACTATATGTTCCCTTTGTCTCAGCATGAAGAGAATTAAGTTGGTTGTTTTTTTCCTTTCCTTTCCTTTTTTTTTCCCCCCAGGTTAATTTATTTGTTGCTTAGGCAACAGGTGAGTGGTTAGACCACTGTATGTTTAGTATTATTTTACTATTTTTATTTACCAAGTGTGATTCTATACAGACATAAAAGGAAATGAAACCGAAACCTTTCCAGGGCAATCCAGAAGGCTGAGAAAGTTGTTTTTGCTGGTTGAAATGGGGAAGAAAGAAGAAGGATATAAGAGAAGTTTGAAAGCTAGGAGCTGGGTGTGTTATTCAGAGAAAAGAATATAAAAGACATGCTCCAACAGGGAAACAGATGTGTAGAAAATAGAACCAACAGCATTATAAATCTGAATATTAATATTTCTAGTTTAGTTGTAACATAAAGCTAATAGTTGGTGAAAGAGACAGAAGTTTTAATTTGTGCAAAAGGTGGATAGAGGTGAGTTTTTTTACTCTTTGATGACTGGTTTGGACTCAAATTTCACTTTGGTTTGGAGTTAACACAGAGCTTGTCCTGTATAGACTGTTACAGTGACTCATCAGTGGCACGGGAGTGAGTAATACCCAAAGTGCAGATCTGTTCTATTGCTATTAAATATAACATACTGATATTCTATACTTGTTATGCCATAATTTCCTAAACATGTACGTCAATTTAGAAGTGCTCACATTTCTCCTGGACAACAAGTATGTGGAATTTGATAGTTAAACTGGATTTTTTCCACTTAAAGCATCATCATCAGTTGTTAGCTTGTAAGTTCTGTAGGTAAGAATGCATGTGTTGCATTGAGGCTGATGGGATCTGGTTATGGGCAGGAACTTCTGCTGTGTCACTTTCTAGACAAAAAAAATATTGAGGAGGATGTTTATGATAATCTCCCGTGCCAGATTTTAACCACAGCCACTTTTTCTCTTGGTGTCTTTAACTTATCACAAAATGTGTGTAAATATATTGACTAAAGGAGCAGTACACTAGGAGTAGGGGAAGATAGTTCACTTTGCTGTTGGAGTCTGACTTAGTACTGCAAAGTTAGAGTTTTCAGAGAGACTTTGGAAACTGTTATGTGTCTGGCTTTGGGTGAAAAACTGTTTTAGAGGTTACTGTTTACATAAATAATGTGTTTCCGTATGAAATATTTCTTAATAGGTAATTGAGTGCGTGTACACATATGTACATGAGGTAGAAATTGTAGTGCAACAACCTATGGAGAAATGCCTGTCACGCATGTCTTAATGCATTCTTCAACAAGAGTCATGAAGTACATCTGATCATAGCAGAACATATGTATGAATGATAAAATGCTGCAAATCTGTCACTTGCCATTTAATACCTGTGGCAAATAAATGCACTGTGATTTGGATCTACAGGTAGCGTGATCGTACAGAATTGCATGAAATCTCTCTGCTTTTTTCCCTTCTTCCCAGATGGCACTTTCTCACCTTCCTAAAGCAATCCTATTTCTTTTGCTGTTTCTTCTGACTAAAACATCTTCTGATAAAGAAATTTGGAATAACATCTCTTCCTGCTATGGTTTTCCTGTCTTAGATGCCACCAAGTTGCAAACCTGAGTGAGGGTAGTTGTAGCAAAACTGTGTTTCAAGATAGGCAAGAAGAAGCTGAAGGAGAAACTGAAAGAAATTGTGGGGAAGGAGAGGAAAAAGGAATGATAGCAGAGGGCAGGAAAAGAAGAAGATTAGAAAAAATCAGTGAATGCTGGAACACAGGGAAGGAAATGGTACTGGAAGGAGGGAAGACAAAGGGGAAAAGTGAATGTCGCATTAGTGTTCTTTTTGCTGTCACAGATTTTACTGTAAAATTTCACAAATGTACACAATTAAGGTGCATGCTCACACAAATTAGGACTTAAGTGCACATGTGTGAGTCTAAAGTGATTCCTCTCCCTTTCCCTCAAGCTATTTTATATCTGTATGAGAGTTTACGTCAGCCACCAGATTCAGTCGGCCTGTAAAGACACCTGGTGTCTGGCTTATCTGAAACATGTTTGCTGCGTTCTGGCAGGTGGAAGTTTACTGCTGTGTGTGACTTTCTGTGCATACAAGGCTGGGGATGGTGCCTGCGGAGGAACAGGACAGCACACATCTTTTGCTGCTGCAAGTGTGCTCTCACTGGGGTAATGGTCTGCTAATTGGAATAATATGCAAATAGGAATCACTGCTGCCTGGGTTGGATTAAGGACAGATCATCAGTGGCCAGAGGTTGTGCATGCTGTCACTGTGTGTTTACATGGCCTTTCATCTAAATGGCCTAAGAATATTTTAGGATATCTATCATTCTCTTCCCATAGATTTCAGCTGATTAATGGTATGATATACTCAGATTTGGTGTACTCGAGGGGAATGCATAGTGAGCCTGACCATGCCACTGGGGTTTAAAAGAAGACACCCTCTCCAGTTCAGTTATCAGAGCACAGTAGCACGCTGACGCTATAAACATTAAAGAAAACAAGGTATTTACATACCTTCTTATTGGGGGGCTATACCTGAATCATATTCAATCAGGTATTTGGAAATCTACTGCAGAGCTCATACTAGAAAATTTGATCTCTGATTTTTCAACAATGTTTAGTCCAGTACTCTGTGTTCTCTATTTCTCATGGTTAGGTCATTTTAACCTAAGTAGAATAAAGGCAATTACAAGAGCCACCCACAGTATGGGCTGAAAGTGATAGACTTCTGCATCCAGAAATATCATGGTCAGCAGGAAAACTGCTGAGAAAGAAGATGCAGAAGGGGAAAGCGTGTATTTGCTTGTAACAGATGGGTGTTGCACTAAAAAAGGGTGTAGGTACTGCATAAAAGTCCTAAGCTCTGCAAACATGCCAAAGCTTTGTGAGATTCACTGCATAAAGAATAGTAGATTAAAAGTGAATGAAAAAATTAAAAATAGAGCTAATGTACTTTGCACATAGTAGTGAATCCACAACAATACTATGAAAGAGAATTCCCACTCCAAGTTAGCCTTTGAATGCTTTTAAATAACAAAACCCTGAGTCACACCTGCTAGTGGATGGCTGAAAATAGCATCCTGTGCACCTGCAGGGCTGCTGCAACTGTGGGGGAGGAGTTGGAAAAGAGCTGCTGCTCTTCCCTGGGGAGTTAGAGAAGGAAAGCAGCTCTAATTCGCGATTGGTTTGTTCCCCAGCTGCGAGTAGGGTAGGGCTATCTGGTTACCAGTCCCTGGGATCTGCTTTCCCTAGCAGCCAGCTGGGTAATAGGGCTGAAAATTGCTGAAGTGTGCCTTTCTCTTTTGCACTCACTCCCCTTAGTTGCTCCTATTTTCTTATTCACCTATTCTGGTAGTCTTCTCTTCACTTTGTCTGTTTTCCTATAACACGTTATGTCTCCTTTATCCTAAGTTTTCTTGGGGGTGAGCTCTGCATTCTGGCTGTCTGCAGGCAAAACTCCTGCTTGAGGGATAGCTTTAATTCTGCTTTTTCCTAATAATGCTCTAGAGACTTGGATGCAGCTGGATCAAAACGTTTTTGCTCCTGTTTAAGAGCACAGGCAGCAGACAAGATTTGCCAACTGAATCTGAAATAAAGGAGCTTGTTTTGGTTTTAATTTTTTTATTTTATTAGGAACTCTGTGCTTGAACCTATAAAAATGCTTTTTTGGGTAGAGAACATGTACAACTAGAAGTAATGAGGAGTAGATGTTATGCTTTATGCTATGAGCCATTGAATAGAAATCAGGTATGAGTCTATTTGACTATAACTTAGTGCAAGATGGGGAATCCTCCTATTTGCAATATCTTTCATTCTACCAGGGTGCAGCAAAACATTTTAATGCTTTTGTTTGGATTTGAGTGGAGGGATTCTCTTTAATACAGTTAGTTGAAAATGATACAGTTGTATAAATACATGTAAACATATAGAGCTCCCCCTCACAGACACTGTATGGAGACTGTGCTTGTAGGAGACTGCTATAGTAAAATATGTTATGATTCAGTATTTGACAGGAATTTTACTATAATCTTAGATGTGGAGATTAGTAATAAGCTTTTCCCAGTTGTCAGTGTACAGCATATTCCGTAATAGTACTGTAATGTGGTGGACAACTGCATTCAGGTAGTTTGTGGTCATTTGGATCCTGCTGATGCTCCTTCCCCAGCATGTTCACATTGCCAGGCTTTTCACAGTATGTATTTAGGAGATGTTGTTGGTTGGCATTAACCATTTCCTCCACACAAATGGTGTTTGTGACGGATGGAGGTATTTATCATGTAAGTACCTTTTTCTACATCAAAGTTGTAATCTTTAATTAACAGCTTCACCTGAATTAACATTAACTGATTCAGTTGTTAAAACTCTGTGCAGGGTGGAGTTTGCTGGACCCATGCCTACCATTGTTTTCTCTCTGAAATGAGCCCTAGCCAAATTCTGAATTGGCTGTACTGTAGTACTTCTTTCTCTTTTTATTTTTATTCTGCTAAAACCTGGACTCACTGTCTTACAATATTGAGTTTTCTTTTTCCACAATGTGATTTAAGTGAAATGCATGGGATCAAGCATCAAGTGGGTTCAGGCCAAAGTGAAGACAGATTGGTAAAGGAACATACTGAAGTAAATCGTCCCTGGTGTTGCCTATGCTTTTGCCACGCTCTTGATGTTGAGTAAAACAAGTAGTAAAAATAAAAACAGCATGCAAGCAGAAGATTCTCAACACTAAACCCATGGCAATATTTTTGCTGCTGATTAAGACATCTCTATGGAAATGCAAATGCTATTTTACATTAAGGAATATTGTCACTAATTTCTGTTGGAGCACTGAAATTCTTTACAAATATGCTTATTGTCTATGAGGACA